CGAGCCTCTTTTTCCCGTGGTTGATCCCTGCTGACTCGCTGAGTGGCAGCGAGTGCTGATTCTGAAACAAACGGGTGTGGCACTCTTTTTTAGCGGGTCCCTTCTTCCCCAGCCAAAAAGCAAAAAGGTCCAGGAGGCCGAGGGAGGCTGAGCCCCCAGGGGCCAGAGCATTCCGAGGCGGACAAATTCATCGCCAAAGTTTGCCTCGGACAGGAACTGGTGGGTAAAAAACAAACAAACAAACAAACAAACTTTCGGCTTAAAAGCTCTTCTTAACACAATTCCAACCACTCATTTTGTTCTGGGGTGCTTTAAGAGTGGGCTTTGGGAGTCAATCTAAATAGTAAATACTAAATATTGAATATTCCTTTCTTCTGAAGGCATATTTAATATGGCTCCAGAACCTGCAGTGCTTCAAAAAGTCCGCAATTTATTACCTTAATTTTAACAATTCCAATCCGTTAAAGTTGGAACAATACTGAGGAGATAATCCTGAGTTAGACAAATGCCAAACAGCAAGGGTCAAACAGCAAACGTACGCAAAGTCATACAAGTGAAAGAGAAGGAGAAAGAGAGAAGGGGGAGAGAGAGAGAGAGAAAAAAGAGAGGGTGAAGAAAGACGAAATCCAAATCCCGAAACGCGACCTGTGGCCGTGCATAAATTTAATCGTGAAACACGCCGCCAAAACATCGAAGGATAAACAATAGAAACTCGCGCACCATGCACAATGATGAGATGCATAAATAGATAAAAAGAAAGAAGAAGAAGAAGAACAAAGAAGAAGAAGAAGAAGAAGAAGAAGAAGAAGAAGAAGAAGAAGAAGAAGAAGAAGAAGAAGAAGAAGAAGAAGAAGAAGAAGAAGCAGCAGCAGCAGCAGAAGAAGAAGAAGAAGAAGAAGAAGAAGAAGAAGAAGAAGAAGAAGAAGAAGAAGAAGAAGAAGAAGATGGAGTCACTCTAGGGGTACTAGCGGTGGTTGCTCTTATCAACACCGCTCGCACCCACGAGATGTTTCTTTTTTTAAAAACAAAGAAAAGAAGAAGAAGAAGAAGAAGAAGAAGAAGAAGAAGAAGAAACAATTTCTTGGCAGCTAGACAGCCTAGACCTGAGAACAGTGAGAAGTGTGCCATTCCCGGGCCTCAAAATTGTTATGATTGTTTTTTTTCGGGGGGGGAGGGGGGGGAGGAGGGGGGGGTGTGTGTGAAAGAGCTATTTGGAGGGACAGAGAAAGAAGCATGCCAAGTGAAGCCACTCGCTACCTTATTAACTTATTATTAGTCGCCATCAAGTAGACATTCAGCCGGATGATGTGGCAGCGACTCAGCGAGCACTGGAGGTCCGCCACGTGGCAACGTGTGGCCTCCGCTGATTGCCTCACATACGACCTTTGTTGATCTCCACTTTTGACTAGTATCGTCTTCATCCGAATACAACGCCTGGTCATTACCGATGTATCTAGGCTGGAAGTTGCCACAAATACCGCTCTCCAACCCAAAAGGAGCAATATGACAAGCACGAAGTGGCAGACGCTTCACATCTGATCTATCACCACCTTTCGCAAGAGCGCTGACGTGCTTAAAGTTTGCATGTGTGTGGGAGAGAGAGAGAGAGAGAGAGAGAGAGAGAGAGAGAGAGAGAGAGAGAGAGAGAGAGAGAGAGAGAGAGAGAGAGAGAGAGTCTACGGCAGAGGGGTCAAAGTAAAACTGGACGCTTCCTCAGGGGTGTAGTGTGGCCTTATTTTCCTTAGATTTTTACGTTCTGTTAACGAGAGAAAAACAGAGAGAAAGAATGTGAAAAAAAAAAACAAAAAAAAAAAAACGCTTGAATTGTGCAACTGTGAAATGATTGCTGAAAAGCTATTCCGCAGAAAAAGGGGAAAGAGAAGTCATGGCAACACTTTTAATGTTATACTCCTTAAGAATCTTAACCCAAAAGAGAGAAAATTTAGGGGGACAAAAAAAAAAAAAAAAGAATCTTAACCCAAAAAAGAAGCACCGGACTCAGGACCCCGCCAAGTGCAAAAATGGCAAATGCGTCGTACCACATTCTACAGCACTATACATTGTATACAATCATGAATCTTGCAATGACTTGCATTTGGCCAATTCAAAACCTGAGCCGCTTTCGTGATTCAGTAACAGAACTGAAATATCGGCGTTTTCCTACTAGGAAAAAGCATCTAAAGGAGAATTGGGTATCTTTTTAATTGGAGATGACAATATATTCCCATGGCGTTGGAAAATTCGTCCCCCAGGATTTATTAATTTACAAGTACTTCCTCCACTTGTTAATGAAATTAGCAGATATTATGACCTCCACGTCATCAGCTTCAAAAGGTTCTTAATGCCTAGTCTAACTAGCTTGAGACTTGAGTTCATTTGTCTTAAGTTCTCTTTGATTATAATTTAATTTTTTAAAAGGAAAACGTTTTTA